GGTTTGGAATTCCCGAGAAACTGACTTTTTGTCGTACCGGGCTTTCATTTTAGACTGGGCGGTCTGGAGCGACTCACGGGCCAAATCACAGGCATGATGTAGCCTTTCTTTAAATGAACTCACAAAGTCCAAAATGATGTCCTTTTTTCTTTATTTATCAGAGAGCCAGTTCTCCCTCAACAGACGCAGTGGACCACGCACAGTGTGACCAAAAACTAAATCGGCCGGACTGAATCCTAAAGACTCCTGTAAAGTCTCTCTTATAGCGAACAACAACAACGGCAAACCCTCATCCCACTCACGATTTGTTTCGCTACAAAATTTGCGAAGCATGCTTTTTAGCGTCTGATGGAACCTTTCTAATGTGCCTTGACTCTCCGGATGGTACGCACTTGACGTACAGTGTTTAACACCTAGTTCTGCCATGACCTGAGCAAAGACTTTGGACATAAAATTCGATCCCTGGTCACTTTGGATGTACTTTGGGAGGCTAAACGTGGAGAAAAACTTAATCAACGCTTTCACAATAGAGCAAGCTTTTAACGAACGCAGCGGTACCGCCTCCGGGTAACGAGTAGCAGCGCACATCACCGTAAGAATGTACTGATTACCGGATTTTGTTTTAGGTAACGGCCCAACACAGTCAATAATAACATGCTCAAAAGGCTCTCCCATGACAGGGATCGGTCTAAGGGGGGCCTTCGGGACCACCTGGTTTGGTTTACCAGACACCTGGCAGGTATGGCAAGAACGACAGAATTTAACAACGTCTGATTTAAGTCCAGGCCAGAAAAAATAATGGAGTACCCGCTGGTACGTTTTTCGGACTCCTAAATGGCCGGAGAGGGTGTGATCATGTGCCAAACTCAGTACTTGTAAACGAAACGGCTGTGGAACTACAACTTGGTACACAGACTCCTGTGTAAAACCGGAGCTAGGTGACCAGCGGCGCATCAGAACACTATCACAAAACAGGTAAGACACCGATTTTTTTTCCGTTTCGTTTTTTTCAAAGGACAGGCAGGCCGACAATGTACTGTCCGATTTCTGTGCTTTAATCAACTGATCTTTTTCTACTGAAAGTTGAAGGGGTTTGTCATTAGGCTGAAGCTCTACAAAAACAGATATTTTCTCTTGACCCACTGCCAGTGGGCTCATTGGATCGGAGTCACTCATAAAGGAGTCCTTCAGATCCACTACGTCCCCTAATTTTTTGGACATGGCACGAGTTATGGCACACACAGGGAATTGCTGAACCGAATCCAGCGCAGTGGACTCAGACACACATGTGTCCACAGCTGGATCATTAACCACTTCGGGGGACGGAAAAACTTTCTTTCCAGCCAAATCATTACCAATAATCAGATCAACCCCGTTAATTGGTAACTGGGGACGCACAGCCACCTTAACCATATCGGAAACAAATTTGGACGTTAACTGAACTAAATTCAAGGGCGCCCGCAACACACTTAGTTTAACCCCCCAAGCCAAAATATCTGCCCCACTATACGACTGAGCTGAGAACGGCAAGACACCACCACGAATAATTGATTGTTTAGCACCTGTGTCCCTCAGAATTGTGATAGGAATTTGTTTTCCCTCACCTGTCAAAGACAAAGAACCCTGCGAAATAAACGGCCTGAACGCCTCATCAATCGCGTTATCCTCCACGTTTGATGCCACGTTCTTTACGAACCCTATAGGGAATGGCGTTCTTCTACCTACATGCTGCTCTTTTCTTTCTAGGCTAGGACAGTCGACGATGTGGTGTCCTCGCTCATGGCAGTAATAACACTCCCAATTATCAGCTGTTTTGGTGCTACCACGGGGAGGAGATCTTAGCCGTCTGTCACTTGCCACAGGCTCACGGCAAACTGGAAGATAAAAAACATTTTTATGAGTCAACACAAATTCATCTGCCAGTACTGCGGCAGCAGCAAGCGACACAACATTTTGCTCATTTAAATATGTGACAATTTTTCCCGGCAGTTGATTTTTAAAATTTTCCAAAAGCATAAGTTCACACATGTCCTCCCTGGATGTGACTTTGCTGGCTTGACACCACCTATCAAACAGGCCACCTTTTCCCCTCGCAAATTCTACATAGGTCTGGTTGACATTTTTCTTAGCATTCCTACATTTTTGTCTGTATGCCTCCGGTACCAATTCATACGCTCGAAGGACTGTGGTTTTTACTATGTCATAGTCGAGGCTCTCCTCAACAGTCAGGGCATTACAGACTTCCTGAGCCTTACCCACCAATTTGCAATGTAACAACAGAGGCCACACTCTCTTTGGCCACTGCAGCATAACAGCGATGCGTTCGAAAGCATTAAAGTATGTATACACCTCTGACTCTCTGAAAGGTGGATCTAATGCTATGTGCTTACTCACATCAAAACTGTTGTGGGGATTTGTGTGCGGTCTATGGGTAGGTGATTGACTGGATGGTAGAGCGGCTCCCCGCTCTATCTCCAGAGCTTTTACCCTTATGTGCATGGCTTCCACCTCCAACTCCTTGTGTCTCAGCTCTACCTCCCTGATGCGCAGAGTCAGCTGTAGGTCCTCTGTTGACATCCCAGCTTGGGGAGGCAGGCCTTGGAGTCGGGCGGACAAACCTGCGAGATCAACCACTTCGTGTTTTTCCTCAAATACACCCTTCCCGACAAGTTCTGCACACAAGAGGTCTTTTAACTCTTGTTTTTGTAGGCACAGACACGTCATAAAACTGTGCAATTAGCACTAAATCTGCTACTGTGCAGTCATCAAGTCTCTCAATGGAAGGGTCCGTAGTAAATAATTCCAATTGACTCTCGCATTCTGAATTCCAAAAAAGAAAACTGTCAACCAGAGACCCAGAATGTACGAGAAGAGGAAATAGCCATGTTTACCCGACACGATGAAAAGAACGGAAGATCCCGGATGAGTCCCCAATTTAAGTTACGCCCAGGTCTCGGGGAACCTAGGCGCAGCACAAAACCAAAACCAACTAAGAAGAAAACAAACCTTACAACTCAAAATCTTACCTAACCAAGAGAACAAATAAATATACAAGCTTCTTACCTACACTAACGTAAACAGGAGAAAACGATCAGTCCAAACGGGAAGAAAAAAACTAAAGGGGTTTGCACTCCGAAGACCATACATCTGTCTTGCAAAGACAGGTAACGTGACACTGGCCCGTAGCCAGAGGAGAAGGACAAAATGTTATCAAGGTGCGCTCTCAGCACCACAGAACAGAATATACAAAAGGCACCGCGTTGGGAGTAGGAGGCCGAGGAACTGCACGGCTGCAGTTAAATATCCTCCCGTCTCCCCAGGTGGACCAATCAGCCTGTCGAGGGCCTCCAATCAGCTACCGGGCACCACCTGTTCACTCATACGCAGCCACAGACACAGGAGGAGGAAGAAAATACCTGCACACAAACAACATAACGACCCAGGGTCGTAACAGGGGAGCAGACGTGTCCCCTATCCTTTTCTGTAGTTCTGTAGAGAGATTTTATTTGTATTCAGAGTCCAGTATGTGTTTCTCTACCTGGCTCAGGGTTTGAGCCCTCATTCACACAGCGGCACTGCTTATGGGCTGCACTATTTCTATTATTATAATAATAATATTTTCTACTATATTTTATTTACTTGTACTGTTGTATCTGTGTTATTGTGTTGCTCTGATGGAGGAGCCTGTGATGTTCATTGTCATAACTAAACGGTAGCTATGCACACATGACAATGAAAGCCTTTAATCTTGATCTGCGCTAACCACTGAGCCACAAACTGGTTTCTGTCTCTTTCTGAAAGCAGCAGACAGAAAAGCTTTGTACACGACTGAGTGGCCAAAACACAACACATCTTTATTTTTTATGTATTTTAATATAATGATTGGTTTTTAAATAATATTTTGTAAAGTTTTTATGTAATGTTTTATCATATTTATTTATATGTTTGTCTTTTACACTTCAAAACGAAAAAAAAACACTTTAATATTTGTTTAAAAGTCTTTCCATTTAAATGTATTTAATTTGTATTTTTATCACTATCTTGTTTTATTTACTTTAAATTGTTTTAATTTTAGTGTTTATTATTATTTTTGTATTTTTTCTTACTATTATAATTGTGATTATTTTTTTATAGTATTTCTATTTCCTTATTATTTATTTTATTCGTCATACGGTTAAACTAAATCTCTCTCGCCAAAAACAACAAAATGAAAGCTCGGAGAGCGCTCCTGTTTCAGAGAGGTTTTATTTTCTTTAAATCTTAATTTTCTGTATTTGTTTGATTTCAATCCGTATTTTTGTGTGAAGTGATGTTTGTAGCACTTTCCTGAATCACAGTGAAGATATTAAGTGCAACACTGAAACATGTAAAACTAAAATAATAAATAACTTCCCTGTCCTAAAGTTTTACCAAAATCTCTTCGCACATCTTCTAACACTTCAGGGCCGGTTCTGACCAGTTTGCTGCCCTAGGCAAGATTTTAGCTGGCAATGAAAAACCTCTACAAAAGACCAATACACTACAAAAAGAGAAACGTATTGACATGGTGGACAGCTTGTATGAAAAGGCTTCAAATATATTTAGTATTGTATGAACATATTTTAATTGGGGGGTGGATGTCACATACCCCCCGGAAAGAAATGTTGTAACATTAACATTTTAAAGTAAAATGCTTCAAGCTGGTGCACTTTGAGCGCCCAATTACTAGACAGTAGATCTAGGCTGGGGTACAACTTTAAACACCCATAACAAAGATTTGTTTACATTTTAATAATCAAATAAGTATGTGAACAAAACCAATAACAAATTAATGTAACGTATTTTTATTTTTTAGTTAACCTTTATTTAACCAGATAAAAGCATTGAGATAATCTCATTTGCAAAGCTGACCTGGCCAAGAAGGCAGCAACGTGACACAGACATATAAAATACAGAGAACATAACTAAGAAAACAAAAGAGGAAAAGCAGTCCCTACATTGAGCACATTAGGACAGTAAGAAAGGTGCACGACTTATTACTGCAAGAGCAGCTGGTGGTAAGGACTTCAGACAACTTCAATCTAAAACATGCTATTGAGACAAGTGCGGTCAGTTTGAGGTGTGATTGAAGGTCATTCCAAGACCAAGGACCAGAATGAAAAAAGACTCCTTTTCCCAGCCTCAGTCCGCACAGCAAGAACCTGGACCCGTATCCAGGCACCTGGACCCGTATCCAGGCACTGGGTCTGAGGTTGTTCATTCATATCTTATTTTACCTTAACATTTATTTATTCATGCATATTTTGTAATCTCTCCTGTTTTAAACAATGTTTTTGGTTTACTGTCCTTTAGTATATATTGGATTGTTTGATTTCTATCTGTATTTTTGTGTGAAGTGATGTTTGTAGCACTTTCCTGAATCACAGCGAAGATATTGAATCTGAAGCAAAGCATATTTTCAGAATCAGAATTCCTTTATTCGTCCCAAAAAGTGGAAATCAAAAGAAGTAAAGTGCAGATAAAGTGAAAAGAGTAGACTGTATATTCAAATATAACAAAGAAGGAAGACATTATTAATAATAAAGAATCACAATAAGTGAAAACACATAATAAGTACAACACGGTTACAATTATTTATCAGCTGTGATCCTGAACAGACTGAACTCTCTGGGCAGCAGGGAGGAAGTCTCTGGAACAGGAGGGGACTCTTCCTCCTACAGAGGAACCAGAGACACTGAGGAACCAGAGCTGAACCAGAACCCAGCATAGAGAGGTTCAGTGGATGTGGTTCTGAAGGTGTGGAGGTGGGTCAGTGTGTCAGAGGAGACTCTGTAGAAGGAGAGAGAGCCAGCAGGATGATCCAGATACACTGCTACTCTACCAGAGGAGGAGGAGGAGGAGGAGGAGGAGGAGGAGGAGGAGGAGGAGGAGGAGGAGGAAGAGATGTGTGTTTCTCTGTTATTGTGACAGACAGAGTAACGATCATCAGAGCATCTCAGACTCCAGGACTGATCATTCCATCCAAACACACAGTCATCTCCGTTTCCTCTCCTCCTGATTCCTCTGTAAGTCACTGATATATCAACCCTTCCTCTCCACTCGACCTCCCAGTAACAGCGACCAGTCAGAGCTTCTCTGCACATCAGCTGATGCCAGCCATCAAACCTCTCTGGATGATCAGGATATGGCTGCTTCTCCTCCACACATGTCACCTTCCTGTTGTCCTCAGACAGTTTGAGGTTCCTGTGAGCTGTGTTTGTGTCGAGTGAGAGTTCACAGGAATCTGAGGAGAGGAACAGCAGCAGTTATTAATCTATCAGCTGTTCATTTATTGACACTTTGATGATGAAGGTTACATTTGAAGATGGAGGCTGCTTTGTTTTCATGAATCAAATTAAACCACACTCACACTTCCTCAGACCGGGTCTCAGCCATCGGACTCCAGCAGGCTCCACCCTGAAAGAGGGGGGGGGGGGGGTCAGAGCAGCATGGAGACATGGACATTACATCACTCTCACACTCAGAGCTTTGTTATTCTCCACAGATGAACCTACATGTTCACGGTATCATTTTAGATCAGTCAAACATCTTATTAGCCGATAAATAAAGCTCATTAACTTCAATGATTATTGATCAGAGAATAAGATGTCAGAGTTGATCAGTGTTCAGTTAGTGTTCCCTCAGCATCTGCTAGCAGCAGTCAATGAGTGTTTCTCTACCTGGAACCTGAAGAGGGAAATACATGCACTTTATTTAAAAGCACCTTTCATGCAACGCACTTTGGGTTTGCTTTGAGCAGTGAAAGCTGCTTTACACATACTTTATTATTATCATGATGAATTCACAGACATCTGATAGTTCCTCGTTGTTTCTAAAAGAGGGAGGGGCCATTTAGTACTTTAGAAATAGAAGAAGCACTTCAGAATCTATTCAGATACAGGAGCCAGTGCAGATCGGGTCCATCAGGAGTGGGTGATCTCTGCTGTGTTTAGGTTGGTGGATGGATTTTGACTCTAAAGCCAAAATGATAAAAGCAGTTTTGGTCAGCAAATTAAAATGAGCATTGAAATCGAGATCAGAATCTAAAATGATAAAGATGTATTTCTTGTTGTGGTGTCTTCTCTGCAAACACAGAGCTGCTGCCTGAGTCTTATCCACTGTCTTCAGTTCCCTTCAATGTTTTTGTCTTGGCATACACACAGTGGAGGAGAGACGTGTTTGATTCCCTGCAGACTTTCTACGTTTACCCACAAAGAAATGACCAGTCTGTCATTTTAATGGTAGGTTTATACAAACAGTGAGAGAAAGAATATCAATAAGAACATCCAGAAATGTACATTATATAAAAGATAAAAATGTATTTGCATTAAACTGAGTGACATAAGTATTTGATCCCCTTGCAGAACATGTGTTAGGACTTGGTGGAGAAACCCTTGTTGGACACACAGAGGTCACACAGAGGTCACACAGAGGACACACAGAGGCCACACAGAGGTCACACAGAGGTCACACAGAGGCCACACAGAGGTCACACAGAGGCCACACAGAGGTCACACAGAGGTCACACAGAGGACACAGAGGTCACACAGAGGCCACACAGAGGTCACAGAGAGGTCACACAGAGGGCACACAGAGGTCACAGAGAGGTCACACAGAGGTCACACAGAGGTCAGACGCTTCTTGTTGGTCTCCAGGTCTGTGAACATCTCAGGAAGGATGTTGGTCCACTCCTCTCTGAAGATCCAAATCCTGCAGGTGTTGAGGCTGATGCTTGGCCTCTGGAAGCTTCAGCTCCCTCCACAGATTTTCTATGGGATTAAGGTCTGGAGACTAGCTAGGACCCTCCCTCACCTCAATGTGCTTCTTCTTTAGACACTCCTGTGTTGCCTTGGCCGTATGTTCAGGGTCCTTGTCCTGCTGTAAGACCCATTTTTTTTGGTGTCAAATTTCAGACGGGCCTTTGATGTTCTTCTTGAGCAGGGGGCCTTCAGCCGCTGCAGGGTTTGATCCATTATGGTGTAGTGTGTTTCCAATAGGTGTCTTGGTGACTGTGGTCCCAGCTGCCTTGAGATCATTAACAAGTTCCTCCGTGTAGTTCTTGGCTGATCCCTCACCTTTCTCATGATCATCAAAACCCCACGGGGTGAGATCTTGTGTGGATCAATCAATCAATCAATCAATGTTTATTTATATAGCCCAATATCACAAATGTTAATTTGTCTCAGTGGACTTCACAGTTTATACGGAATATCAGTACAAAGCCCAGACCGAGCGCCATTGATGCTCATTTCGTGTTTCTTCCAATTAGAAACACACACATTCTTCTTCTGAATAATCGCACCAACAGTTGTCTCCTTCTCACCAAGCTGCTTTCTGATGGTCTTGTAGCCGATCCCAGCCTGGTGCAGGTCTACAGTCTCACCCTGAGGTCCTTAGACAGCTCTTTGGTCTCGCCCATGGTGGAGAGGTTGGAATCTGATTGATTGATTCTGTGGACAGGTGTCTTTTATACAGCTAACAAGTTGATATCAGGAGTACTTTTTTAAAGGAAGATGAATTATTTGTCTGTGGGAGCCAGAATCCTTGTTTGTTGATCAAATACTTATTTCCCACAGTTAAATGGAAATACATTTTTATATTTTATATAATGTCAATTTCTGGATTTTCTTTTTGATATTATTACTCTCAATGTTTATATAAACCTACCATTAACATGATAGACTGTTAATGTATTGTGTGGACAAACTGAAAATATCTGCAGGGGGTCAAATACTTATTTCCTCCACTGTATATGTTTATAATACCTGAGCGTGTCCAGTCTCCAGAGAGGATCCTCCAGTCCAGCAGACAGCAGCTTCTCTCCTGAGTCTCCTGGATGATTGTAGCTCAGGTCCAGCTCTCTCAGATGGGAGGGGTTGGATCTCAGAGCTGAAGCCAGAGAAACACAGCCTTCCTCTGAGACCAGACAGCCTGACAGACTGAACACACACAAGTTCAAACAAGAGAGTAAAAAAACAATAACAAATGTTATTGAAGCAGATGCAACAAAAGGTCATGAGTTCATCCATCATTAATGTACATCTCAATTTAACTGGCTATAAGTTTAACATGTTGATGAATCCTGACCTGAGAGTCTCCAGAGTACAGTGTGGACTCTCCAGTCCAGCAGACAGCAGCTTCACTCCTGAATCCTGCATGTCGTTGTTACTCAGGTCCAGCTCTCTCAGACTAGAGGACTGGGAGCTGAGGACTGAGGACAGAGCTGCACAGCTTCTCTCTGACAGGTTACAGCCACTCAGTCTGATAAAGGAAAAGGAATGTAATATATTAAAATAATGAACTGAATATGTAAACCATGATATATGAATGTTTCTGGACTTACAGAGTCTTCCTGGAGGCTTTGACCACTGGCAGCAGCCTCAGAAGAGCCTCCTCTGAAGCAGAGTATTTCTTCAGGTCAAACACGTCCAGATCTTCTTCTGATGACAGTAAGATGAAGACCAGAGCTGACCACTGAGCAGGAGACAGATTATCTGTGGAGAGACTTCCTGAACTCAGGGACTGTTGGATCTGCTCCACTAGAGAACGATCATTCAGTTCATTCAGACAGTGGAACAGGTTGATGCTTCTCTCTGGAGACAGATCCTCATCCATCTTCTTCTTGATGTACTGGACTGTTTCCTTGTTGGTCTCTGAGCTACTTCCTGTTTCTGTCAGCAGGCCACGGAGGAGTTTCTGATTGGTCTCCAGTGAAAGACCCAGGAGGAAGCGGAGGAACAAGTCCAGGTGTCCGTTTGGACTCTGTAAGGCCTGGTCCACAGCACTCTGGTAGAGGTGTGTTAGTTTAGGTTTGGGTCTTAAGACTTTAAGCAGCCTGGTGGTTGTTGGTTCTTCTGCCAGCAGGTTGATACGAGAGTTGATATATTTCCGATGGACATGAAGAGCAGCCAGAAACTCCTGAACGCTCAGATGGACGAAGCAGAACACCTTGTCCTGGTACAGTCCTCTCTCCTCTCTAAAGACCTGTGTGAACACTCCTGAGTACACTGAGGCTGCTCTGATATCGATGCCACACTCTGTCAGGTCGGACTCATAGAAGATCAGGTTGCCTTTCTGCAGCTGCTCAAAAGCCAGTTTCCCCAGAGACTTCATCATCTTCCTGCTCTTTGGACTCCAGTGTGGATCTGTCTCAGCTCCTCCATCATACTTGACGTTCTTCACTTTGGACTGAACCACCAGGAAGTGGATGTACATCTCAGTCAGGGTCTTGGGCAGCTCTCCTCCCTCTCTGGTTTTCAACACCTCCTCCAGAACTGAAGCAGAGATCCAGCAGAAGACTGGGATGTGGCACATGATGTGGAGGCTTCGTGAGGTCTTGATGTGGGAGATGATGGTGCCGGCCTGCTCCTGATCTCTGAATCTCTTCCTGAAGTACTCCTCCTTCTGTGGGTCAGTGAACCCTCGGACCTCTGTCACCATGTCCACACACTCAGGAGGGATCTGATTGGCTGCTGCAGGTCGTGTGGTTATCCAGAGGCGAGCAGAGGGAAGCAGCTTCCCCCGGATGAGGTTTGTCAGCAGCACATCCACTGAGGTGGACTCTGTGACATCAGTCAGGATCTCAGTGTTGAGGAAGTCCAGAGGAAGTCGACACTCATCCAGACCGTCAAAGATGAACACAACCGGGAACTGATCAAACCTGCAGATTCCTGCGTCTCTGGTTTCAGGGAAGAAGTGATGAACGAGTTCCACCAAGCTGTACTTGTTCTCTCTCACCACGTTCAGCTCTCTGAAGGTGAATGGAAATATGAACAGGATGTCCTGGTTGGCTTTGCCTTCAGCCCAGTCCAGAGTGAACTTCTGTGTTAAGACTGTTTTCCCAATGCCAGCCACTCCCTTTGTCAGCACTGCTCTGATTGGTGCATCTCTTCCAGGTGAGGCTTTAAAGAGGTCTTCTTGTCTGATGGGTGTTTCTGGTCTGTCTGGTTTCCTGGATGCTGTTTCAATCTGTCTGACCTCATGTTCAGCATTGACCTCTGCAGACCCCCCCTCTGTGATGTAGAGCTCTGTGTAGATCTGGTTCAGAAGGGTTGGGTTTCCTGCTTTAGCAATACCCTCAAACACACACTGGAACCTCTTCTGCAGGTTAGACTTAAGTTTACGCTGACACACTCCAGAACGACTTCCTGAATGAACACACAACAAAGCAGATCAATTAGTCAAAGAAATCCTTAAAGAATGAGAAGCCAAATCTTTTTTTTCCCCTCTCTTGAGACTTTAGTCAACATTTATCCAGCTTGTTAAATCTCTATAGAAACCCTCTTACTGCTCTGCAGACGGTCAGCCAGCTCCTCCTGCTTCATGCTCCTCAGGAAGTGCAGTGAGATGTTCAGAAATGCCTCTCTGCTGCTCCTCCTCTGCTCTTCATCCTCACCGTCCAACACCTCCTCATCCTCCCTCTGACTCTCTAAGCATTCTGGGTAATCTGAACTCAGAGCCTTCTGGATCTTCTTCAGCTCGTTCTTCACAAAAGTGATGATGTTGTCCTCCAGCAGCTGGAACAGAATACATGAACAACACAATCAAACTAAAGTCACCAAACATCAGATCCATGTTGGACAGACTGACCATCCACTGATCTACAAAGTGCATCATGGAGTTGACTGTGAGCAGAACAGATGTAGAGTAGCTGTAGTTCATGTACAGACCATAAATGTGGAGTCCAGCTGTGTCTGATGCTGCTGGGCAGACTGACCTCTGGGAGCCTCTGAGCTCTGCTGGTCCTCTCTGTGAGGAATCATGAAGACATAACTCACATTATCTCTGATATGCTTCAGTGGTGCTGAATATGTGGATCAGGTGCATGTGTGAGCAACAGGAGAAAGGTTAGATCACTGGATTTAACTAAAACCTCAAAATAAAGTTTTATAGAAACATGAATTGGTACAAAGGTTAAAGGGCAGTGATATCACTCATCCTTGACTATCAGCAACACGAAACACTTAGAAGTGCCACGCACCAAAATGAAAGTAATCAGTGAATGTAATCTTTTTTTAAGGTTTAACAATTACATTTAATTTAATTTGATCAAGAGCTATTTAATTGTTCAATAGAGCACCAGGTGAAGAGCAAAACACCACACAGCAATTACACATTTTAGAAATGAGAATCAAACACTGCTGCAAATACAGGGAAACATTGACCTCCAACTGACGAGGAGCAATGACAAACACACAGGTCTGTATTCACTCAGAGCTGATCATAAGCTGGAGTAGACGTCCACACAGTTGAGTTTCCCTCCCTTTGGACGCAAGCTGCAGGATTACAGAACTCCAGCTTTACTTAAGAAGGAAATAAATATAACTCAGATGAGAAACACTGAAGGTAAACAAGACCTTTATTTCTTTATTTAAAGAAACCTTCATCAGATTCAGAAACAGGTTTATTGCCAAGTTGGTTCACACAGACGAGGACCTTGTCACGGTGTTTATGGTGCTTAAAGCTTTAAAACCTGATACGCCTTATAAATGCTCAAAGCTGCTTTTATTATAAAGGAACCAGAGAAGTGTCTCACCAAGAACATTCAACAGAGCCACACTTTCTTAGCTGGGTCAATGAAACCTGAAACCAGAGCAGCAGGTACCATGAATGGGTTATCAACTTTCCATCCTCACCTTTGACCAGCAGAGTGTCGTCCATCTTTGAAGTGAATAGGTTTGTCCATAGACCAGTCACTCTTCATGGACACACAGCTGTGTTCAGGTTCCTCCAGCCTCCTCCTGAAACATGAGTAACAAACAGTTAGGAATCGACCGTCACAATGGTCTAAAATACTATTCATATTATCATGTTTTTAATAAACAGGGACCATGCATATAAATACATTATCTCAAAGAAGGGATGAGTTATGCCAGATTAAGATCATTGCTATCTGCAGTCCTTAGACAGGTACGCACATAATGATCCTCAAACACTTAAAATCTCTCCTAGTCTCCATCACTCTAACACTTATACAGTCAGATCAGAGCTCAGAGCACCATATAACAACATGACAATACTTTATTATCAGATCAAGTCTGACATGCTTCTGGCATCACAGCAGCTCCATTAGCAACTTCAACGAGGACAAACATCAAGACAAGAAACAGATATTTACCAGAACAACACAGTCACTGAAGACACCATGTTCATCTGACCTGGGATTTCACTGACTACGTAATCATGATTGGGGTCAGAGATAATGTGGTTGGCCCGCCTCTAACCCCTAGATTCCACCGGGTCCGTCTGCGTCGCGTTACGTCCGCATGACGGCTGCGCTGCGGCGTCCGCAAGGATCGCGGCCATTCTAGTGAATGGGTGCTATTCCACCAGACGTGCCGGGTTACGGCCCAGAAGCGCTGGAAATAGGATTGAAGTCTATTTTTCTACGCGACGCAGCCGTAAGGTAATGTCAGGCAGGTAGGAAGTGGAACGTTCAGAGCATATATATATATACACACACACACACTAATTTTGCAGACCCTATCCCTCCGTAGTCTTTCAAGTAGGCGGAGAAATGCCAGCGTTCTTCTCCGGTTTACAGGCACTGTGTACATTATAAAGAATAATTATGATGATGAATGCATTTTTTTACCACTAAAATACAGCAACACATCTTTGATTACAATTATTATTAACTTTGTCTGTCCAGGAAATATGCCCAAATCAACAAAAACTGCGAGCCGGCATGCAAGACGCTCCACTTCTGAAATGCTTCTGAAACGCGCCCGGTAGGGTATGACGCCGGAGGAGGCCGGACCAAAACCGCGGCGCAGCCGTAACGCGCCGCAGACGGACCTGGTGGAATCTAGGGGTAAAGGTTGTGATGGTAGGCTGATTCAGAGAGGCTCTCAAATGTTGACCTACGACCTTTGAGCAGATTTTCTGAAAGACTGGTGGAGCAGTTTTGATTTTAAAGCGGTGGACAAACACCTGTACCATGTAGTAAAATCACAGATGTAAAAAATAAAACGAGAATGTATCTACTCTCTAGTCTCTATTATTTGTTTTGTCCTTTAGCAGATATATTCTATGTGGTCTTTCTAGAACAGAAGGGTCTGTCAGGACACCCACGTATTTATAAGAAAGTACCTGCGTGATTTTCTCAGTAAGTGTGACAACAGAGACAGATATATTTACCCTGTTTTCATCAGAATACTTAAGAATATATTGATTTGGTGAGCCTGTCCGACCTCGAGTACGGAGCTGTTTGATTGGATCTCAGCAGGTTTGGTTATCTCCTGCCACCTTTTTCTTTTTCAGTATTCACTATTTTACTGATCTGCAGTAGAACACCAATATATGAGCCACAAAGACAGAGAAGACGGCACTTCCAAGAGGGTACTGTGGTGAATGAAGTCATGTATTTATTTGACTACCCAATGCTCTCTCATTGCCTCCCATGTATTCCTAATGTGATACCTGCTCGTTCTACAGCATGTAGGTCTGAAACTGTACCTTAATGATGAAAGATCACTTTAGTTTGTGGACAAATTGAGCTGTATTTATTGTTTAAACATAGTTTTAAATATGCTACCTGCTATGGTATAGAAGGCTTCTTTTATCGAGCCAGTCTGACACGTTAAACTCTGGCTTCAGGCTGAACACACCTTGGTAGACCCTCCCTCAGCTTCAATAAGAAGTCTCTGTTCTTCAGTAACAACTTGTTTTCTACTGCTGCTGATATAATGAAGTCACATGACGTCCACTTACTCTGTCTCTGAAGGTCTGCCTTTAAAATAGATTGGTGCACCGATAGACTGGTTACTCTTCATGGACACACAGCTGGGTCCAGGTCCAGGTCCAGGTCCAGGTCCAGGTCCAGGTCCAGGTCCAGGTCCAGGTCCAGGTCCAGGTCCAGGTCCAGGTCCAGGTCCAGGTCCAGGTCCAGGTCCAGGTCCAGGTCCAGGTCCAGGTCCAGGTCCAGGTCCAGGTCCAGGTCCATGCTGCTGCTCTGGGCTTCAACACACACACACACACACACACACACACACCACACACACACACACACACACACACACACACACACGCACGCACGCACGCACGCACACACACACACACACACACACACACACACACACACACACACACACACACACACGCACGCACACACACACACACACACACACACACACACACACACACACACACACACACACACACACACACACACACACACACAAACACACACACACGCACGCACGCACGCACGCACGCACGCACGCACACACACACACACACACACACACACACACACACACACACACACACACAGAGCTTTGAGTGTGAATAATGCCTGCTGAGCTCTGGAGAAGAGGACAGTCAGAGGTCTTCATCTCACCTCTGAGCTTTGGTGAGGCGTTCAGGGTCCCCACTCAGAGCGGGTTCAGTGTCCTCACAGGGATTCATAGCAGAGCTCACACCTTCACACACACACAACCACCTGCTGGAGAACCACACATGATCTCATCAGGACACAGAGCTCACACACCTCCAAACTAAACACACTCATGAGACAGTTCCCATGTTGTTGGCTCTTTGAGCTGCAGCGTCTCAAAGACCCTCTCAATGCTCGGTGGCAGATAGCCTTAGCTAGAGCTATTGTTTGCTAACACCATATATGCCATTGTTTACGTTCAGTTTTTCTTTTCTATAGTTGTTGTTGCTATTTAGTATTGTGCTGCAGTAGTTTGTGGAATTAACAAGTCATTTGGCTGTTCTAGATGATTACATTGGGACTTGTGAGGAGGAACATTCCCGAACAACGGGTGATGGCAGTGTTCCCTCCACATCGTCATTGAATCCAGAACGGACCCCAGCCGAAGACCCTAACCCGACTCAACCACCAACACCGAGTGCCATCACGACACCGCAGCGTGTGGTTCTAGGTAAGAAATAGAAATGGCAAAACGACTGGAATTGTGTTTTGTTTTTTTAAACCTTGGATCATCCATCGTCAGTAATTAAAATAAGCTATACCACTGTGTGGAAATGCTCTGTTACAAGTAAAGTCTTAGCTAGTAAGCAGCTAGTACAGTTGTGTGTGACATTCAATCATATACATATATTTATATTCATTATCAACAGGCTGGACATTAGTGCTGGGGGGAAACGATTATTTTGAAAACGATTAATCGGGCGATTATTTGATCGATTAGTCGACTAATCTAACGATTCTTTTTCTGTTGTTCAATTCATAAAAAACGTAATGTACATTTTTTTTTTCACGATACTGTGTCTTAATATTAAGAACCTATTAATGTGTTATACCAGATTAACGGAAATAATCTCAGCTAACTGCCGATACAAACCATGTTTACCAAAACAAAACACAAGTCTCATAAGAAGCATCTAAATGACCCCTGAGCGAAAAATGCTAACGGACATTGGCACAGAACTCAAGATAAAGGTACCCTTATTACTTATCGTAGCTGCACATACAATATATCCGATTAAAGCTGAGACTCCACAGATTATGTAGGTATATAGTATCATCACTGAGTGATCCGGACTCGCGACAGGGGAAGCAAATACAGTCATCACAACACGTACCTTTACAGAGCTTCTAGGGAGATCGTCTCACCACCGTAGCTGTCAATCTGATCAAAAGACGTGTTTAATGGCATTAAAATGAGAAAAAACGCGGCTGAACCGGTTAATCCATAGGTTTTTAACGTCTATGTATAAAAAAATGATTGAATTTATAATCCATAATTCCATTTTTATGTAAAAATCGGAGAGCAAATGCTTGCTGCTAATGGTAGCAACCACAGCTAGCTGCTGCTTCCGGCCTAGGCTATGCAGCAGTCTCAGTGAGATATAAATATATAAATATCTTTGCGTTTTGGACTAACTTTAAAATATTCCCATGCTTTTGAAGACCTAGTAGGCCGCAAGGTGAACCTCGAAAAGTCCTTTAGAAAAGAAATCCCGCTCCACAGAAGTGGAACTACATAATCTTTAGTTCATAAAAAAGAACGAGTCATGCTTATCCACCAAAGAAAAGTTCGTCGCTAAAATTCCTGTCAATTCTTCTAGGCACGTAATTATTGGCTGAACTAGTCCCTTCAAAGCGTAATAATATCTTGGTCAAAAGTAGTGCCACGGTTCGTCACGTGATCGGACGGCCAGCGAGGCAGCCCGAGGCCTGAGCGAGGACGCTTAGGGACGCTTAAACCAGGGTTGCCAACTTTGGGTACCTGGCTGGAGTGAGATTTTGGTATCATGGGTTTGATTACACATATGTGCACGAAATGACTGCTATCGTGTCAGTAGCGGGACCTTAGCATATATAGGATATATATACAATATATACAAATACACAATATTGGACACAGACTATAAAGGGCACACAGTTTCATTCACTAATGAAAGTCAAACACATGTTTGTTTCCACTGTTTTATTGTGTGCCTGTCGCGATAAGCAATTAATTGACGTATCGTACGATAAATAAAAATTAACTCGATAAATTGCCATTTACATGAGGATGTGACTAGCAGTTTGAAAGGATGTACTTGAATTATTATTATATATTATCATTATGTCAGTGGTCTAAAATGGTCATACAACGGTGCCGACAATATTATCGGTTATTGCAATAATTTCCGGGAAAATGTATCCAACAAAATTAATTATCGTGAGATGCCTATACATGAAATACACACACAAACAAATTTACAGACTTACTCCAAACTGCCAAATATATTAATTAACACACTCTCACTCTCATATTTTTTGACTCTATTTTGGCCTAGTAGAACAATAAGCAGCAAACTTTTACTTTTTATCATTTCTACTGGATCTTAGATCTGCGCATGCGCAATACGGGTCGGCAGTGGCGGCCACAGAATATTTGTGTTGGGTAATCTATGGTAGGGCTAACCCATACAGTGGTGGGGCTCAAGTCAGTATTTGCAATGTAATTACATACACGCCAGTGGCGGCGCCAGAGATTTTCTCTAGGGGGTGCTGTGGGGTAGCTTGACGTTTCATAGAGGGTGCTCAAACATTAAGGGTTTCCCATTAGTGCACCAGCACTACAGTTGAATTTTCTACTGCAACACTCCCCACACGCACACACAGTATACCCGCGACTGTTACAATGAAGGCTCGGTAATCAGCTCACGGAATATAGGTGTAAGCAGGGGTAAAGTGCTATTTTTACAAGTGGGGAGTGGACCTCACCTCCTCTAGGAAGGTCCTCACCTCCTCTTGTGGGGTCCCCCGGGAAGAGTTTTTTTTAAATATTGAAGTTAAAAGCATCAATCTGGTGCACTTTGAGAGCAACATTAAGAGATCTATGGATACATCTCTCAACACCCAGATGAAACAGAACTGTAAACAGATTTTCTATTTCTTTATAGATATTTTACAAATCACTCCCCTTTTAAAACAAACCGTTTGAGACCCACTGAGATAACTAGACTAAAGTTAACTATCTAAACACTGAGAGTCCTTTACTTCACCTGAGCTGAGGTTATCTTAGTCTGACAGGAGAGAGTTCTCCCTCCACCCATCCAAACATCGAATGGGTGCTGGCCATTGGCCTAATCATATCACCTGTGTTGGCTTTATGTTTTTGGTCAAACATTTATTTGTTTCACATTTGCATTGATGTAATCAATAATTTTTCTGATTTGATTTAATAAAAATAATAATAATTTTCTAAAAAAAACCACATATTTCTTGGGGGTGCTTAGGGGGTGCTTTGGCAATCCTGGGGGGTGCTTCAGCACCCCCTATCTCCCCCCTGGCGCCGCCCCTGATACACGCCCCCCCTTGACATTGAAACGCCACGCGTGAGGTTTAGATTATTTCCTCAATCCAAATTGAACTGTATGAAATAAAAAGGCACATTTGTCATGTAGTAAATAAAAAGGGCGACCTGGAGCCAATCCTGCAATTTCCCCACAGGTGAAAGAGTTGAGATGCTGAAAACCCAACCCCTGCAGGGGGGTCTGGGGGGATTGACCCCCAGGAGATTTTTTGAAATACTAACATAAAATACACATTCTGCTACTCTCTTGAGAAGAAAAATAAATACATCTATTAATACACGACATATTTAAAAAAAAATGAATGCCATTTTAGTTTTTTGTTACTTTGTTCTGAAAGCTGAACCTGCTGCTCCTCACAGAGAGAAGAGGGAAGAGGCTGTGAATGACTTTACATTGTGGATAAGGGTGGATATTCCCCATTGTTCTGTGTGTCAAAATGAAAGACAGCCCACACCTATCACTCATCAAACCGTGGGGTCTGATTTCATTACGTGTTGATTTCTATCAACACGTAATGTTGTATCGATGTATATAGAGATGTACTACAGTAAAAGTATTCTCCGTCGGGACTTCCTGCAACAACACAACGCCGTTATCTTGATTCTGATTGGCCAGAAGACATTATCAAAGATGTTCTATTGAGAAGACGATCACTACGTGACAAAAGTTTTCAAAACCGTTTCTAGTCTTCGGTAGATTCTTGTTTTGGCGTGAGAATAGTTTGGGCAGCGTGAGAGCGTGAGATTGAGAGTGAAAGCGTGTGTCACACGCCAGATGCGTGAGAGTTGACAACCCTGCTTAAACGGGGCTGCTTTTAGGTACTTTAGTTCACTTCATTACATGCTACTTTATACTGTACCTCTACCTTTCTACATCTCAGAGGCAAGTATTGTACTTTTTCTGCAGTCCATTTAAGTGATAACTTACGTTAAGAACATGTTGTGTAAAAGTTTCAGATCTAGATTAATAACACTAAATATAATCACCAAATTGTCCTGCCTTAACTATATATTAAAATATGATTCCTTGGTGAAAATCATGAGGCACAATGAATGTACTGTATATGACCTTTATTTTTTTAAAAAGCTCCTCCTTCACCAGCTGTAACATTAAAGTGAACAGACGGATTCATTAATTATTATTATTCAATAATGCGACACATATTATGAACTGGTGCAGAATGAGTACTTTTACTTTTGTACTTTAAGTATATGTTGATGTTTAAACTTGTACTTTAGTGAAGTGTTGAATAGAGGACCTGAAACAGATTATTATCACACTGTGGTTTCACTAATGTTTCTGAAACTAAAGATCTGAGTCCTTCGTCCTCCTCTGAGAGAAACCAGAAACCAGCTGCAGTTCCTCAGAGTGACCACTGGAGGTCCTCCTCCTCTCCTCCTCCTCCTCCTCCTCCTCCTCCTCCTCCTCCTCCTCTCCTCCTCCTCCTCCTCCTCCTCCTCCTCCTCCTCCTCCTCCTCCAGCTTTAGCTTTTATTTTTGGCCCATATTTGAGCTTCCAGACTGCAATGAACATACCTTTTTTGTTGGTTTGTTGACGTGTTTGAACTTGAGTATTTTTAGAGCGAAGACTAAGAAACAAAATGGCTTCTGCTCAGCTGGTGTTTAACACAGAACACCTGAAGAGAAAACTACAACAGAGAAAGAGTCTCACAGTTTCATCAGAAACTACAACCTTAATGTGATCTGTGAAAACAGAGAAATTTAGAAATATATTGAAAGTCTGTCAGTTTATTGAACATGATAAAGTAGTGAAACAGTTCCCATTAAATGACAGAATATACAGATATTGGCTGTAAGTACATGTTGTAACTTTACAGTCTAGTACAAGTACACTTCTTCATTATCAGGACACATGTAACAAGGTGAGAATACTGCATTAAGACGTTTGAATTTCACTGTTTAGACTTTAGATCAGAGTTCCTGAGGGGGGGTCAGGAGGGCGTGTTGATCGACCAATGAAACGCAGCCAGAGTCTCTCAGGTGTTTCAGGAGCAAAGGCCCAGGTGAGCTCTCTGATGGCTGCTGGGTCCTAGTGCCCGTCAGCTGCCTCCCCCTCCACATCAGTAGCCCTCCTGACAGACTGACCCCCATCAGCCTGAACTCCTCTTCCTCCTCACAGGGAACTCTTTAAACTAACCTGCACTCTCTCTCTGCTCTCACAGCTAGGAGGCCATCTTGTTTCCCAGCTTTAAACAATCACACGTTCATCAACTCAAGCGTTTCTGCGACCACAACAATCAACAACGTCAACCAATCACAGCTCTACTTACTGAACTGTTAGCCGTGAGATTCATCAGTAGCAGCCTCGTCTGAGTTTCATCAACTTCAGCGTCCGTCAGACGAAGTGAAGGCGCTTCCTATCCTGAGTCTCAGTGTATGTGTGTGTATGTGTGTGTGTGTGTGTGTGTGTGTGTGTGTGTGTTTGTGTGTGTGTGTGTGTCCTCGCCTCACTATGACAGTATGCAGTCCGACTGGTTGGACTGAGTCTCAGTCTGTGCTGCGTTCACAGGATCAAATGTGTTTGTGAATATAATCGGGAAGGGATCTTTAACAGAGTTTCCTGGTACTCTAACCTGCAGTGCCTTTTATCAAAACAGGAAGTCATTACTTTTGTGTAATTTTGCAGAATAATTTCAGATTGGACTCTTTGCAGCCTCTGTTGTGGAAAGTTCTGCTTCCTGGACGCAGCTTGAATAAATAAGTTAATTAAAACAACACAAAGTGATCTCATCACTGCTCTTTGGTGATCTGGTTTTTCATTTGTAAAGTAACCGCAGCTGTCAGATAAGTGTAGTCCAGTAAAAAGTACAACATGTACCTCTGAGATGAGTACAGGTATCTCACTCTCATTTCAGGTGTAACATCCTCTCGACCGCCCTTTCAACGTGTGATATCTCCACCATCTCACCCACATTTCCGTGCCTATTGCCTCACACCAAAGTTCAGTTTGTCATGCTGGGGATTGTCAACTTTCTGACTCTTACGGCCCGGACACTCCAAGCTGACACCAAAGAACTCACACAGACGGACCCCCGACTGTTGCGTCGCCTCACGTCTCTGCGTCTCGGCCAACAGTCGCACTGGAACACACCGCAAAGACTTCAGCTGACAGCCAAGAAGCACGTACGAACTGCGCATGCGTGAGTGGCAATAACTCTCCTTACCAGCAGGCGGCGGTAGTGTGTGTTCATCATTCAAAAGAGGCAACCAGAAGACAGACCGCGTGATACACCGAGAGAAGAAGAACAGACTGCGTGATATAAACAAACAACAAATAGCGTTCCATTTTCCCTCTACAGCGAGAAGCTCACGGGGCTTTCCCGAACCTGAGTCGAGAGCTGGAGTTAAAGGAAATCTTAATAGTTTGTTTGGGTACCTCACTTCCGTTTCACTTCTCATGCACTGATTCGCTAGCTGAACAGCCAATCAGAGTGATTTATTTTGCCGACAGCCTTTGGCCGACTGCCCACCGATTCGACATGTTGAATCGATGGGTTTTCGGCCGAAAAGGTGTCGGCACGGCTGAAAAGACACAACGGTGCGGGACACACCAATCTGAGTAGAGCGTGTCGACGCTCATCGTCGGCCCAACGCCCAACGACGCCGATAATCGGCTTGGTGTGTCCCCGGCCTTTAGAATCCATTAACCCCTTGAGCCACACCATCCGGACAGATTGCAGTCACATTTTACCGGGTGGGGTTTTTCCTAAATTAGCGTTAGGGTTACGGCTAAAAGGGGAATTGGCAGCTGATACTCTGCTTTAGTTTTTTTGGTTTATTTTCATACAAAGCCTTTGACCCAACAGTGATGGATTCAGAAACACACATTTCCAGTGCTTCACCTGCTATAGATGGAATGTTCCCATGCTCACTTTATGCTTCCGACCATACCCTACCATACCAATACTTAGATGGGACACCTCGGTATCTCCAGTGCTGCAGTCGTTGAATGACGTGGTTTTGGTGGCACTACCCAGTATAACAGGGGAGTCTTGAATAAGGACGCTGCATATTGGTTTGTTCTGATAGAAATAAGGTTGAAGCTCGTTGTGCCAAAATACGCCACTATTTCAACACGTTCTAAGTAAAAACTGGGTTTTCCCGCTCGTTATAGTTTAAACACACTTTACATAGGAATTGAACGCTGTTCTTCAGATTGGTAGACATCCATTTACCCCTTTAGATAAAAATAAATACTTTCTAATGTTTCGGTGTATTAGGTATTAGGAGTAAAAGTCATGCTACATTTTTCTTGTGTACTTTTATTTCTGATCTACAAAGTCTATTTTGTTACTTATTCTGTTGGTACAATCTGTTTTTCTGTGTTGTATTTGTTTCTTCCTGAACACAATTGATCAGTTGTACTAAGTCTGTGTTCTTATTATTTCTGTATCATAGTTTAAATTATATTTGTATTTGCTTTGTTGTAATTTCCCGTAGGATCTTTGCGTTTGTCTTTAATTCTTGTTCACGGAATTTCTCTGAAACCATAAAGTTCACAATTTTACTTTTTCTATTTCTTATAGTCTTTTATCAATGCATTTGTTTGTTCCATTCTGTTTTAGTGCTGCTTATGTGCAATATAATGCTATAAAAATAAGTATTTTGTTTGTATACATGGAATGTAATGAAGTATATTCGATAATGAGATATATATAAAGTCATGCCCGATCTCGTATATCTCAGAAGCTGAGCAGGGTCGGGCAGAGACATTGTTTTGCACATTGATGACACTGAAGGTCGCCCAGAGGTCTGAGTGTTGGTTCTTAATGTGGGCGCCCAGGGTTTATCACTCAAGTATTTAGTCTTGGCTCAAATTGGTTTTATTCCATCTCCTTGCAATCTATGGAGAGAACATGACATAGGTAAGAATAAATAAATCCATGAATAAATACTGGAACACTAATATAAATAACTGGAAATAGAAACAGAAATAAAAATAATACAGTAATAAATAAATAAATACTTTAACTAAAAATAAAATGATGTAAAAAATAAATAAATATAGATTGAGAACAAACAGGACACACATTATTATATATCTTTAATGTATTTCTACCTTTATGTTCACTTACATGCATTTATTAAAACATGTCTGTAAGCTAACGAGGTAGGGGGGTTTGGGAACTACGGACGGAGGAAACTGTTGAACAACGATGGAGTTTCCCCTGATTTATACAGTACACTTGCTTATGGGACATTTACGGAATTACAACAGCAGAAGTATAGTGCAGATGTTTATTAAATATATCAAAGTAGGCACACGTTATTAATAATAAAAAACACAATAAGTAAAAACAAATAATAAGTAAACCATGGTTAAAACAAATCAAATAGCAGTATATTTTTTAAACAAGGTGATGATACAAAATTATAGAAGTAGCTGGTACTGTTTACAGATCCTAAATAAATTGACAGAAAAATAAAGCTTCAATTGCACGACATTTTTAAACCAATCAGTGAATTTGAATCATTTGACCTTTTATGTGAACATGAACTGGAAGCACTTTACTGAATAGCAGAGGGGTTATTGATTAAACGTTGTAGTGTAAACAGTAGAAGTGTGGGAAGGGAATGATTGAATACCTTTGTATCATAATCTTTCGGTGTTGCACTTTGTAGACGGGCCCTGCATTCAGATAGAAGTTGAGCAGCTCGGAGGACGGTGTGTGTTGGCTTGTTTCGATAGAAAAGAGGGGTTAGAGCTTGTTGTCTACCTTACTGTGGTTGTTCAGAGACGACGATTGTGTTTGAGTTATTGATCTGTCAATATCTTTCTAACTTAACCAACTAGGAAGACACTCATCCCGCCCGTAACGCTAGTCTTATCAATGAAAACTCTCATACCTCATTCACACCAACGGTGTTTCAGGGCCGGTTCGGAGCTGGAGCTTGAAAAGCACCGGGTTTTCCTGTTCACACCGCAGCGGAGCCGCCTCTTAGCTCCGGAATCCGGTTCGTTTCAAGCACCAACAAATTGTCCGGCCAGAGCAAAAGCACCGCATACGTCACGCTGACGTCGAGGCGGGGGCAGAGACAGATCAACTCCTGAACAACAACAAAAAGCCCGTGTTTTATCCAGTTTGTACAACGATGGAGAAACTTAACAAGACTTTCAGAGTTTCAGTGTTTCTGCCATAGACTGTATATATAAAGGTTTCTGCTCATGGTGAAGCAACGTGTCTGCGTGTTAAGGTGGAACCTGAGCATTCACGTTGATCACCTCTCATTATAAATCTATAAAACTATAAATATTAAACTTTACTTCACGTGTTCATTTGAGAACAGCTGTTACATACCTGGGTGAAGGTTACAGTTCATTTAAATGAAAGATACAACGTTACTCCACACTCATGGTTCAGTCCACCTTAAGAAATAAGACCGACCTAGGAAGCAGTTGTGTTTTAAAAAAAACCTTTATTGACACGAGTACACTTTTTTATAAGAATATAACTAAACCACAGAAATGACTCCGGAAAAGCTGCAGATAGAGCCATAAGAAATGAATGCAACTGATTTCATCCGCGCGGGTTGGCTTTATGAAGCAGGCACGCAAACGGTTACGTCATGACGCAAACGATGACGCAACGACGCATTACCAGTCGGACTCTGGGCGGTGTGAAAAGAGCCAGAGCTAAACCGAAGAACTGGTTCTGAACCTGAAAAGCTCTAGCACGGAGCTTGAACCGGAGTTGCGTTGGTGTGAATGAGGTAACAGAGGGCATTAAGAAGGATTATCAAAAACATCTTCAGAAGGTTGTTACCAAACATTTCAAGAATGTTTTTAAACCAACATGCATTATCTGCTTACAGCTTATCATGAATTAAGTGCTTTTTGTTTTTATCAAAAGTGACATCAGATTTTTTAAAACATCCTTTTCAAACAAATGCAACAAGGTTGATTTTTAAAGGGCTCTAGAAATAAATCTGACGTTGACCATGACCGTGTTAATATTTGCCCTCACAGGAACGTTTTATAAAAAAAGAATAACCTCCTGAAAACATTTTTCAGAATGTTGCTTGGACGATGTTCTTCTTTTGTTATCATGAAACATTGAGGGAACGTTTTATAAAGAACATCTTTAATGTGTTTCCCAACAACGTCCAAAACACATCCTTAGAATGTTGCAGGCAAAACGTCATGTCTTAGTTAACCTTAAACCTTTTAGAAACATTATTTGAAATAATAAACATCGTCAAAAGGTTCTTTGAACATCAGATTAAAACGTTTCTTTAAAACAGTATTAGAACCTGGAGGTAACGTTAGCCAACGTTGTGAGAACGTTCCCCGCTAGCTGGGATAACGATCACACACACGTTCAGACACAAACAATCACGGTCAACACGGTTGAAAAACGTGTGGCTTCCTCTCTAACCTCTCATCCCAGCTGATCCCCCGTGCCCACATATAGAGGTTAATTACCTCCCGTGCTTCCAGGTGCGCAGATTGGATGATGACGCGTTCACACACACAGAGACAAACCCTGTGCACAACCCAAAGCAAATTGGCTCCAACACAACACATACAAAACACATTTCCTGCCCTCTGCTTACTTTATAAATGTTGTCCATTTGATGCAATGTTTCTGCATGAGATGTACAGTACGCCCTCTGGCGGACTTTTTGTGAATTACTCTAAAATCCCAAAAATGTAATGTTTTTTATATTTAAGGGGGAATGCTCTAGAGACCCCAATTCTCGGCCAGTTTTGATCCTGCAGCCGTTGTCTGCGCGTGTAGCCCGACGGCTTCTTTATTAGTGTACAAAAAGTTAGGGTGATTTTTTTCTGTACATTCGACATGTGCCCATTGAAGGGCATGTGGGTACACATGACGACACAGGTACCCTAATACGAGAAAGGGCTATAGGTTTTGAAATATAACTGGGATAACAAGTAGAGGTCGTAGAGACAGGCTTTAAGATGTTTTTGATAACATTATTAGAACATTATTCCCTCCTGTTCTTAAAATGTTTTCAGCGGGACGTTTTATTTTGGTTCCCAGAATGTTCTTCTGAAAGGTAGGATAACGTTCTCTCAAAACAGTCTTAACATGTTTGGTGATAACTTTCTAAACATGTATGAGCGCATTGAGACAACGAATAGGGCGTATAAAAACTAATTTGCATGCCAATATTCACTCACATGCACTTATAATCACACTAAGGTATGTAGGCCCACAGTGTTCATAATATCATGTGTAAAATATCAGAAAATAAGCACACTTTTTTCTGACTATAGGCTGTGTCTCGTAGGTTCTAACTGTTGGATGAGCTATCTGGCCGTGTGTGGTTTGTGAGGGCTGCGAATAAACAGTGTCCGCTGTTTATGCATATTGGATAAAAATCGTTATTGCACCCTTTAGATTTGAGACCGACAGACATATAGAAGAACGGACCGACTGTCACTGACCTTCCCTGAAACCCATGTTAGTGTTTGTATGTGTTTGTTTCTACTGTGTGTCTCCCCCCCCCCCCCCCCCCCCCTGCCTGCTGGTCTGCTCTACACGGCTGGCAGCAATCTCCAATCAACCACACCTGCAGCCTGCTCATCAGTTTGCTGCGTGCTGCTCTAGCTTTTTGCCAGCATGTTCTTTGACAACTTTGCCTGCTTTTGCCTCACACTCATTGTTGTGTCTCTCCCAGGAGGAATCCAAGGCCTTCCACACTCCCAAGACCAGCCAGGCCTCTCCACCCACCCTGGAACAACTGTTTTCCACTGCTGCCATAACCAACCTCCACTCCCAGCTCCCCTTTTCTAATAAACAAATGTTACTTTCAGCTGATTCCGAGTCTGATTCTGGGTCCTCTCCAGTACATGTGACACCGACAGTGACTTGTACTAGCTGCTGGTCGCATTTAAAAAAAGAAAAGAAAAAATACTTCTGATAAATCGGAACGATAAAGCACGTTATCCTTCTCTAAAATAATAACACTCTGGCAACATAAACAAATCTAACTTGTAGCTGAACATGTAGCATAATGTTCTAACAATGTTATCAAAAACATTTAAAAAAGGTTATTACCAAGCATTTCTAGAATGTTTTTAAAGAACGTTATCCTACCTTTCAGAAGAACATTCTGGGAACCAAAAGAAAACGTCCCGCTGAAAACGTTCCTAGAACAGTGAATGGTAACATTCTCAGAATGTTTTTAGAACCAAACGTTTCTAGCTGGGATGTTTTAAAGAAGTTTTTAGATACGTGAGTCGTAAAAGAACATTTTAACCTTGGATAAATAAAGCATTAGAAATGACGTCATGGTGGACCTCATCCTTCACCAGAACACGCAACATTTGTACCCGGGAATAGTGTTCAAAACCTGGGTACATTAGTGTTAAAAGTCGGGCAAACTGTTTTAAATCGGGTGGAGAGGGTCCTGCACTCATTATTTTTGTTTTAAAATAGTGTACATTTCACTGCATAAACATTTGGTGTTATGGACATATTCGCGTCAGTATGGACGGATAAATTGCTATTTAGGCCAAATGTAATTCATCAAATGTACAAGAAGATAAAAACAGCAGAGTCACTGCTGTTAGCAGGGTCTGGGACTCACAGACAGAGACCCATAGACCCAGGGTGATGCACCTCGCTGTCTTACTCAGAGAACAGGGCTCTGATCAGGGCTAAAGTATTGTTAGAAACTACTGAATCTGTTTAAATGCAGGCAGCAGAGTCACTGCTGTTAGCGGGTATGAGACTCACAGACAGAGACCCATAGACCCAGGGTGATGCACCTCGCTGTATTACCCAGAGAAGAGGGCTCTGATCAGGGCTAAAGTCTTGTTAGAAACTGCTGAATCTGTTTAAATGCAGGCAGCAGAGTCACTGCTGTTAGCAGGGTATGAGACTCACAGACACACAGGTAGCCCCCATGGTAAATTCTCCTCGTCTTGCCCGCTATTCAAGCCTCACATGGCGGACTCCTGACTACCAGCAGACCCTCTAAAAACCCACACATCCATAACCACGGGCACCGTGAGTCCCTGGGCCCCCGCACTTAAGTATACCCCCTCGGACTAAACCCAGCATCCACACCGCTAGAACCTCGCGCCCCTGGAAAGACTAAAAAGGGGGTGGATTTTGTGGTGGTCTACCGCCCGTCCTTAAGCATCCATCTGCAGAGTCCTGAACCCCAGACACTCAGACACTTTTCATAGTTTTAGGTTACCAGGGGCATGCTTGTCTGGCCGTTATGCACATGGGATTTTTGTCAGAGGCAGTGTGCTTGAGTCAGGGTCCCCGAGCACTCATGGTGCGTATGGAAGTGCGAGCACTTTAACTTTTTTCCACCTCTGTCCTATTTTGTTTGCATGTATCCCACAGATACAGGCTGTTGTCAGCACCAAGGACAGCGCATCCCCGCTGCTGATGGAAAAGCATCCATGTTGGTGCCCCTGGGAAGCGCCAGTGTGGAAGAACCGAGGGACTGGGGAAGAAAATGTGTCCGAAATCCATCACTCATAAGTCCCCTGTCGACCCCTGGTCCGTTTATCGCTTCAAAATGTGAAAAAGTGGAAAAAAGCACATTCAGGACAACAGGTCAAAATGAAAAGATGTATCTGAAAATAGTGCCTCATAATGCGGGTAGAGTCCCCTGTCAACTCCCCTTACATTCCTCCAGAGGCACATTTGTAAAGTTAAAGTTCTGTGAGAACCAGGCTGGGGGGTCTTCAGGCACAAAATAAGGCTGACCCAGAGTGCATGGTGAGCGGACACTTCACCTCCGTGTTTGCAGACAGCCATTTTTTTTCTGAGTGAACCCAAAAACCGGGTTTCCGATTTCGTACAGACGGTAGTCCGAAATGTATCGATGAATATTTTTTACGGAGAAGGGGAAATTAAGCCCCGGACACTTTTCCACTTCTCCGTTGCAACTTTCAACGGAGAAGGGGAAA